CAGGGCGAAGATTTTAAAACACTGATTGTTCTGCCCCAGGGATTGTTCCTTTTGTCAGTGAACCTGGCAAGAAATGAAATAAAAATAGTCAAGTTCGCTGACAGACTAGACAGGAGATATAATATGCCTCTGCTACCAGTACCCAAGGTCATTTCTAGATAACAGGCACAGAAAACTGATACCTTTTTGGTTTTGGTGGGTGGAAAGGCAGAAGAGATGTCCCTGCAATGCAGTATCCTCTTAATATTCACAAAAGCATGGCAATGAGCCTTATTTATTGCTAATAATATAAAGCTATACCAGATTTCTTCGGCACGTGATGAACTTGACAAGACTGCAGAATGAGGCAGAGTCCTGTAAATGAATGTCTTTTAACGTGTGGCTTGGTCCCAGAGTAGTTTTTGGGGGGACTTCACAGAATTTCACCTGGCCTAATGTCAGCTCAGAAATGTCTTTTCCTGCAGCAGAGGGGCAGCAGGGCTCTGAGGCACCCAGCAGCCAAGCAATGAGCACCTTGCGGGCGCAGCTGATCGGGGCTTTCAGGGAGCAGATGGAGATGCGTCACAGCCTGATGGAGCTGGAAAACACCAACATTGAGCTGCACGTGGATACCTGCAGGCACCTCCTAACAATTGCTGAGTGAGTGCCTCCTTAGCTTCCAGCACAATGTATATAGGGACCTCCAAACTCGCCATGGGAAGTGAGTAGGTGTAGCTCCATAAGGCAACCAGCACATATCGCATCGAGTTTAGGCTCAAGACTAAAAGTGGGGAAAAGCACTGTCCTTCCCATGGAAAGAACACATAGGAGGCCTGTCTTACAAATTTCCAAAGGGGAGGAAGCTAACTGTGCTCTTCTGAGTGGTTTGTCCAGCTCCAAAGCAGCCTGGACTAATTATTTCTGTTGCTGCCATGGAAGAACAAGCTGGACAGACACAATGAAGGGCTATGCACCACTAGAGCTATGTCACTGTGTCCCAGAAGTTCCTTTCTCTTTCTGGCTGGCAGCTGGGAACGAGAGAAGGCTCAGGTTGCATGTAAGGATGACATGCCGGCAAAGGAGGAGAAAGGAGAAATAGTGGAGGAGGAAGACAGGGAAGTGGATGTCATGAATTCACCTGAATCGCATGAAGTTACAGTAGCAAGAGAAGAGATCAACCTGCTGCTGGCAGAACAGCGCAAGACAGCGGCCCTGAAGGTGAGGAGGTGAAGGTGCCCTTAGGATTTCTAGTCTGCCCCCTGCCTGGTGGGTACTTGAGGGCAGGATGGCAGCAGCATAACTCAGAGGTTCATGTGGATTTGGGCTCGCACCACAGAAGCAGTGGGGCAGCTGGACTCCTAAATAATTTGGGGTGCTGAAGGAAGCAGCATGGAAAGATTGATCTTTGCATCATCCCTGTGTCCTTGTGGTTTTTAGGATGAGGGAAAAGCACCCACTGGGTTTGTATTACCTATAAGTGAGCTAATCCTTTCCATTTTGAGGGTTTGTCACTCATTGGTTGTTCAATGTGTTGGTAATTGCTTTTAGTCATTGTTTTTTTGGGTAGTTCCCATTAACATTTGAGTTCCTCTAGGCAAGGACTGTGCATCTGTATATATCTGCCATGACTGAAATATGGTGGCTGGTAGTAGAACAAGCAAAATACAAAATACTTCTTGTAGATATTACTTCAATCTCAGCATGAAGGACACAGCAAAGATTTGCTCAAATGCCTTTGTTGCCCCAAGAAGCTGAGCTGCCTTGGCAAACCCCTATCTGTCTTTTTCAGACAGAGCTGGAGCAGCACTTAGCAAATGCCAAGGAAAAAGCTTCCCAGATGGAGGAGTTTTTCCCCAGACAAATCACTAGTGAGGATCAGCAGGAGGTGCTCAGGCTTCTCTGCAGAGCCCATGAGCTTCAGCTTGGCAACACAGAGCTGCAGCCAAATACACTGTACAGGGAGAATCTATTGTGCCAGAAGGATTTTGTGATCCAGCAACTGCAGCAGCACTTGTTACTCTGTGAAGAAATTATTCAGCAGCAACATATGCTGATAAAAGGTAAAGCAGCACCTTTTCTCTTGCTTTGTCCTTATCTCCAAGCTTTGTTTTCTGATGGCAAACTGGAGAACAATCCATCCAGAAAACATGGTCTTGGGTGTCATGACTTCACAGTTCTCAGTTGTTTTTCTAGGAGTTATTTTTAAGTCTTCCTCCATATCTCTGCTCCAGCCCAGAACATTCCTGTCCCAGAGACACTGGAGAGGTTACACCACCTGCACCTCTCTGAGCTGGAGGAGGGGGTGCTGAACCGCCTGCTGCTGCTACACTCAGTGATGTCCAGCATGCTCAGGGTAAGGCAGAGCAGCCTGTTGTGCTGGAGAATTCACGCTGTCCCATGATGTTGTCATGGCCATGGATTCACACACAAAACCTGGCTGGGTCCTGGTGCCAGTCAGAAGCTGCACACTGTTTTATGAACATGTTGCCTCTGGAGTTCTACTCTCCTTCCCTCCTTCCCCTTACCTCAGAGGATTAAGGCTTTTAGCAGCACAGAAGCACCCAGGCAGTGCTGTGAATGACCCAGCTTCTGTTGTGTCAGATTTGAGAGAGAACTGGTTTGGTTGCAAAGAGAAAAGCAAAGGTTAGATGGCCAAACATGCAGCACTCCAAGGGACTGCTGAAGGAGACTCTTACCTAGAGACATCTACTTGCTCATGGCACAGTTGTTATTGAGGTCTTCAGATCTTTCCTGACAGAATGGAAAGATGCTGCTGGCCCCTTTTTCTTTGGAAAACAGTGTTTTGAGACAGTAAGGGGCTGCCAGGAAATTGCCAGCCTTCAGCAGGGAGTCCAAGCACCAGCGTCTCCTGTTTATTATGATTGTCTAGAATGAACAGGGCAAGGAGTTGGGTTTCACCTTGAATAATAAACTTAATGTTAGTCATGTTGTTATATGAGAAATTAAACTACTCTGAGTGCCCCTCTACAGGAGGGGAGCAAATAGCAGGTGGCTGGAACTATGCAGAAGCACATGGGGTATCAAGGGTGTCTTTGTGATACAGACTGAGAGCCTGGGCTGCAGAAGGGGCTTTACAGTGAGAAAAATCTGCTGAGGGTCTCATTCTTCCCTCTTCCCGCAGCCCCACAAAAGCCCTTCTCTGGATGTAAGTCAGCATCTGGATCCCAATAAAGATGAGATCAGAAAGGGTCTGCCTGGGAACATGAAGGATATTCCCTGGGGAGTGAAGTTTGGCATTCCCTCCATCACCCTTGACTCAGACAGGTAATGTGAGTCTTTCTCATTATTAGACTTATTCTCTAGGGCACAGAGACCTGGTAGCTCCCAGCTAAGTCCACAAAGCTGGGAGATATCAAACTGGAAGGACCTCTAGAAACTGGAATCTGCCAGAAGAGACTTTTCTGGTACATTGTTCTTGCAAATCAGCTCCATGTTTTAGCAGGAGCCTTCTCTGCAGAGAGAGGCTATGGGACAAGTTTCAATTTGCTTCTGTTGGTGGGCAAGCATTTAAATCAAATAAAGTAACAAAGTTTGTGAGGATCAGGGGACAAAATATCTCTCCTTCATGAATCCTGAAGTATTCCTTGCTGTGTTCTTTATTATCATGTTTGCCAGGTTTCTGGCTTTCTCCACAGCTTGAGAGCTCTCAGCTAAACATGCTGCATCTCTCCCTGTTGATAAGGGGCCTGTGCTTTCATCTCATAACCTGCTGGCATATTCTGTTCACAGTGGCAGCTGCAGATCAGCTAAAACAACACCCTGTAGGAAGGAGGGGTCTGTGGACACCCACATCAGCCCAACTTTCTCTGGTTTGCCAAAAAGCCCAGCTCAGCAGGTCAGTATGGCAGGAACTGAATTCAAGGCACATTTGATGTGGAAAGCACCTTGCTCTTGTGATGACAAAAACATGCACAGCAGCTAAATATGTGAGGAAGGTGGTAAAATTGCTCCTAGAGCACTGGCCCTGGGTTTAAAACCTGGGATTTAACTAAGAGGCCAAGGCTTAACTGCCTTCTCCAATTTAGGCACTCTGTGTGACTCACCCGTCTCCAGTGTGTCCAGTTCACTCAGCACCCTGGAAGAGGAGGGACAGTTAGGAGCTCATCAGTTCCCTGCTCACTGGCTGACTGACTCTGTAGCCATGGCTGTGTATGGGAAATACACAGTCAAAAAGCTTTGCTTTTGTTTCTCTGTGCACAGAAGTTATTGTAACAATATTTCAGGTGAAATTTAATGTCTTCCAAGTGTTTTAAAGTGCTTAGAAGGGGGAAAATATAAAAGCTTTGAATGAAAAGCAAATTACACTGCAATTGCTTTGATTTTTAGCAGAAACCAACAGATGTTGCTGCAGGGAAGTTGACTCCCAGGCTGCACTCCCCCACCTCTCTAGGCTTCCATGGGAAAAAGTCACCTGCAGACATTGCTGCTGTTCTATGGAGTCCAGAGACCTTGGAGGAAATTGCCACCAGCACCAAAAGCATCTCCCTCATTGCAGCCAGTCGCCGCTCCAGAGCCCAGCACAGAGACCCTGGGAGCAAAGCCACCCCAGTCCACACCTCTGGGGAGGATGTGCTTGAGTTGAAGTATCCAAAGGCCAATTCTATCCCAGACTGTCAGACAAGAGACAGGGCATGCATTGGAGGGTTGCTGTTGGAGCCCACAGCTGGGAGCCAGCTGTGCTCCCCAGCCAGGGGAGAGCTGAGGAGCAGGAGAGACCAGGAGGTGTCTGCTGGGAGGACAGCCAGAAAGAAAAGATCTCACTCTCTTAAACCAAACAGGGTAGGAACACAAACTCCCTTTGTGTTTCTTTCTGAAGGGGATAGATTGAGCAGAAGGCATAGACCCAGTGAAGCTAGGGTGGTTTTTAAATACAGGAAGAGAAATGTAGTACAAACTGCATGGGGAAATAAGTTAAATATCTTTATTCTTCTTCTAAATATCTTCACCCTTGACCTCCTGCCTAAAGAGCAAGCTAAGCCGGTCAGGTGGGAAAGGAATCTTTTTGGTACAATGTGGCAACAGTCAGAGGTCAGAGACATCACCACTGAGGTGAACTCCACTTGGTGTCTTTCAGATCTCAAATGCTAAGCCCTGGACTCCCTCAGGCTCTAACACAGACACAGGTTGTGAGAACCACCTGCGCCGAGCCAGCCTCTTCCATCAGTCAAAAGCTGTGAGAAGCGTATCCATTGCCACAAAGGTCAGGGCTCCTGCCAGCCACCAGTCAGGTAGGGGCCAGAGAGATTTGTCTGTGCCCGACATCAGCTCTGACAGATGGTGGCATCCTGCACCAGCTCTGCTGAAGATGGATTGTCATGTGAGAAATAAGCCAAAGTAAACGCTAATGATCAGAACAATTAGCAAGCTGATCTGATTGGTTTTTATATGGTCTAAGTAGATTTTTGATGGGTAAGAAAGCATATCCTTTGTAGGCCACTGCCTCAGCTATGCCTGTAACCTATGGGGAAGAATTACTGTTCAGTTGTGTTTATGTGCAACAAGTGATTGATCTCAGTTTAGTCTGTGTTTCACATCCAAACCTCAGCAAGGATACCAAGACGTGACAAGCTGTGCTGACCATCTGTCAGCTTCAGTTGATTTGCCTTGTGCAGGTACACAAGGCCAGGATGAGTTTAGGAGAACTGGACACCCAAATCCTACTGAAATATTGCCAGAATCTTTCCCCATTCTGGCAAGGGGTGTAACTGATCCACCTTAGTTTTTCTAACTTTTTTTACTAAAAAATGGCTAACTTTTGATTTACAATGCTATAATTTATTTTGGCTAGCTATTAGCAACTCATACATTGCAAAATGCTTTTAAACTCTGCTCCGCTCGCACTGTTTATAACAAAGCTCTCCCTGCCTTTGACAGAGGGGACTCCACTCGAGATGCTGCCAAAAGGCAACGCAAGTGCCACCCAGCACAGCAATGCTGATCATGTCAAAGGACAAGACCTCCAGAAACAAGTCAAGGGTGAGTGCATGAAATACCAGGTTGGCTGGCTCAGGAGGCACTGTGATACTCTTCAGCACTTGCTCTGTTGCAATCTGAACCAAAAGAGCTGTAAATGCAACACAAATGGTCCAGTTGGGAAAGCAGTCACATGAGCAGAGGTTTTGCGGCCAAGTTTTAAGCCTTTTTTCTTTGCAACAGATGACACGGGCAATGTTCCAGAAGGAACATCTCCCTCTTAGCCAAAAATAGCCTCCTAGGAAGAGGAAATAACATTTTCAGAGGTGCTAATAATCCCAGTCTAATCCATATGTAAAAGACAAAATTTAATCTCAGCTAGCCACATGTCAACATAACTGCTTCCAAGGCGTCACCTTGGGATCTTCTTCAGGCAGCAATGTGCAGATCCCAGTGCCTTTGCCAAACTCGGCCCTCCACAGCCTGTGGCAATCTGTCTCTTCCCCATTTCAACTGGAAATGAGACTCAAATTGAAGTATGAGAAACTTGACTAAGTTCTTCATCTTCTCTCGCTTGCAGGGCCTGCAGATGGTGCCAGCAGGCGGCAAAAGCCGCAGCCAGTCGCCCGCCTGGGGAGCCAGCCCAAGACTAAATACAAGTCACCCAGGGAGCAGGAACTCTTTGTGGCCCCAAGGGATTGCAATTTCAAGACTGCTGGAAGTCAAGGAAGTGGATGCAGGAGAAATGTGCCTTAAAATGTATTTTGGCCTCTGTGTCGCGATGCTGAAAAGCAGAGGGGAGGTGAGCAGGGAGGAGAAGAACCTTATATGCTGTATATGCTGTAGAATACTTTTTCTCTATCCCTACTTCAAGTCTGTCCTCTGTACTGTGTGCTCTAGCTGTTAGCTTGAGTTTAAGACAAGTAGGGTGTTAAGAGAGCCCAAGAGAGGAAGAAAACCTCATTTTCCCAGCACTGTTTGCCTCCCAGAAGATTTCAGCATTGAGACCAAGCTGCCTTTTTTTCCCAGGGCAAAGGTATGGCTGCCACCCCTGCATCCCAAAGGCTCCCTGACTATTAAAAACAAATGTAAATGCCTGAGGAATAGTTTGCCCATTCTTCCCTGCTGTCCCTGTGTGTTGCTGTGAAGCTGTGAGGTGTGATGCACGCCTGGAATGCTGTTTGGGTGAGCAGATGTTTGGCTGTGAGATTGCTCTAAGCTCTCGTGTATCTGCAGAGCATTTCAGACCTGGCTGCGGTCAGAGAGGCAGTGTGGTGATAAGTGAAGACCCTGATAACAGCTACTAGCCTGGAGGTAAACTATGGGAATGTGCTTTTCTTTTTGGAACAAAAGTCTCCAGGCAGCAGCCTATTCCATAAGGGACTTATTAAATATAATGCAAATAAAATGGTTCTGGTCATTGCACTGAATGGTGACTCTGTGCTCCATACGGGAGTGTCTTCCCTCCTATAAGTATCGAAGGTGACAATCTCAGGTGGGTTTGTGCTTTTTCTCAAATGGAGGAAGAGCCTTTTTTTACAGCTGTAGCACTTGCAAAGAACATCCTCCATGCTCTTTCTGACCGGGCGACATTGTGCATGCTCCCTTTTCCTCCATGAGCCTTGCTTTGCTGTGGGGAAGATGAGGGATAGTTCACTCCAGGGATGAGGAAGCTTAATTACTTGCATTTATTAATGTCTTAAACCCCTGAGGTGGGGATGCAATGCAGGTGTGTGAGCAGGTGCAGCAAGCAGCCCATTTTCCTTATGAAACAGAAAGAAGAAGTGTGATAGTGAACTAGGTCAGGAACACTTCTTCCCAGGGCTGATTCTTCTGGATAAACAAAGATATAAAGAAAAAAAGAGCACACAGATAAAATAAGCAGAGTGTGTATAAAATAAACCTGTGCCAGCAGTTCCTGAGCCAAGCCCGGAACTACGCGTCCCCCCACGACGCGCAAGCACTCGAAGGACCAGAAGGCTGAACAAACCCAGCTCTCAGAGAGACGCTCCAAGACCCCTCACCCCCTTTGTCGGACCCTCTCCTTGTGCTGAGAAAGCACAAGAAAACACTTTGATTTTTTTTTTTTTTTCCCGTGCGGCGGCGCTCGCAGAGGGTCCGGCAGCGCCTCCCCAGCGCGGGGGGCCCCGAGGGGCGTCCCCGGGTGTCCCGCTCCCTCCGTGTCCTGCTCCCTCCGTGTCCCGCACCGCGGGGCCCGGACCGCCCCTGGCGGGTGGAGCGGCGCCTGCGCGGCCCCGCGGGGAGCCCCCGCGCCGGCGTCTCGCGAGAGGCGGCGGCGCCGGGACCGGGACGGGCGGAGCAGGAGCGGGAGGAGGAGGAGGAAGAGGAGGAGGAGGAGGAGGGAGGCGAAGGCTCCCCGGCGGGAGGTGAGCGCGGGGCCGCGGCCGCTCGGTGCCTGCGGGGCCGGGCGGGGCGCGGTGAGGCGGTGCCGCCCCGGGGCCGGGCCAGCCCCGGTTATGAGGCGCAGTGCTGTGTCCCCCCCTCCCCGTCCCTGCGCTCTGCCCGGTGCCAGGTAGGGCTCGGCTCCGGCGGGACACGGGGCATCGTGCGCGGGGCTCTGCGGAGCGGCTCCGCTTCTCCTTCACCTTCCCCGCGGTGCCGCCGGGATGGACATTCCCCGGCGAGCAGGGGGGGCTCAGCCGGGGGAAAAGGGGGCGCAGGGGGGACCTTGTCGCTCCCTGCCTGGGAGGAGGCTGTGGGCAGGTGGGCGTCGGTCTTTTCTCCCGGGTGACAAGAGGTAGAACGAGATGGAGCGGCCTCAAGCTGAGGCAGGGAAGGAGCTGCCCGGGGAGCTGGTGGTGACACCGTCCCCTTGGAGGCAGACGTGGATGTGGCGCTGAGGGTCGCGGTTTGGTGGCGGGGCTGACAGTGTTTGGCGAATGGGTTGGTCTCGATGATCTTACAGGTCTTTTCCAGCCTTAATGATTCTGGTGCTGGGCCTGAGGCTGGAAGCAGCAGCTCTGCCCGGTGCTCTGCAGCCGGTGCCGCTGGGCTCGGCAGCGACCGAGAGCCATCCCGGGAATCGGCCGCCTCCCGAGCGCAGAGCCCGGCTTTCAGCGCTGCTCCAAGAGATCCGGCGGAAAACGCCGCTAATCCCGCCTGAACTCCACGCGCAAAACTTCACCGCCGAGCTCAGGCTGGAAACTGTGCCTGAATCAGGTGTTTGCGAGGCGGTCGCAGGCAGTGCGGGTGTCGGGGGCTGGTTTCTGGCCCCCCTGTTGGCACACAACGAGTATCCCGGCGTGTTGCTGGCCCGGGCTGCAGCACCGGGGCTGCCGGAGGCGCTTCCTGCGTTTGTAAGGGCGGGGAAGATGCGTGTGCTGGAAGTTTGTGATAAAAGTAGTGGATACGCAGGACATGCTGTGTTTTGGGAGTTTCCTTCTGGAAATTTTAGACACACTGTTATTGTGACAGCTTCCAAGTATGGACATTAAAAAAGAGGCAACTGGCACTGCTAAGCCTGTACAAACCAGGCTTTTTTGGCAGCAATGGGCAGCAATCTACAGCTACCATGACTGTAGATTAGAATGTTCGGGGTCCAGGGTATATGTGCTAAACTGGGGTGAAACATGCAATACAATTCCTATTTTTTGCTTATGCTGTGCAGTAATACTAATGTAACCACGGGTTAAAACCGCCCTGCTCTGCAAAGAGTGCCAGACTTTTGGGAAGCTGGGGAGAAGCAATGAGGTGAGTGATGGCCAAGCATATGAAATTTGCTTCTTGGTATAGTCTGTCTGCTTTGGTTGGTGGTAGCTTGTTCTCCTGCACCTTTAGGAGATTAACTTCGTTCCGTGTCTCTAGAGGCTGATGATTCCCTAAGTGCAACTGGTGCCAGGTGTGTGCAATGGTATGTGGGTACAGAAGGCTGCACAGGTCCAGTGATTGCTGGTAAATTCAGGTGCTCCAAGGGAAAATATCCATTTGAATTTTTTTTTTTGGGGGGGGGATTGTATGTTTTTAAAAGTTCTTATTCCACTTCTTTCTGTCTTCAGAAGGAGGTAAAGCCCAAGCAAGCTACCTGAAATCCCATATCTTCACCTGCTAGGACGAGTGGGTGCTGGAGGAGGTGAGCTGGTACTTAGTGCCTGACCTGTGCCATGTGCTTCCCTGGGGGGAAGCTGTGGGAGAGGGACAGGCCTGGGGAAATACAAAGAGATGAGATCTGCACCCAAGCCTTTGGAGGCACATTCATTTCAAAACCATGCCTGTTCACAGAGAGGGGTTATTGCCCCTTGTCTCTGGTGCATGGCTTTGTATAAGCTGCTTTATTTTCTGTAGGCCTTACTGCTCCTGCAAGTGAGATGGAGTTACTTCCTTTTGCGGTGAGGCTGTGAAAGAATGTAGTCTTTGCACAAAGCCAAGAAGAGAGGAAAAAAGAGACACAAATTACTTAAGCTGTTATCTACTCTGAGAATAAACAGTTACAATCGGGCTGTAAAGTGGAAATAAGGTTTCCAAATCCCCGAGGAGTTGCATCAGCAATAGCTTTTGCAATAAGTGCTGGGGACACATCCCTCCTTTCTGGTGTTAAATGAAAGTTTGAGAGGTGATTGTTTGAAACGGCAGCTTGTGATAGGAGAGAATGGGAACAGTGACCTCAGAGTCTGGCTCGAGCTCGGGAGAAGACTCTTTGGTTCATAGCCAGGCCAGGTTCAGGTTGGAGCTGGTCATGGGCTGGCTGCTCAGGGGACTCTGTAGGATGATTATAGCACTTGGTCCACTTCCCAGTTTGCCAGCGTCGTGTCACAGAGGCAGCTTTGTGTGGATCCGGGTGCACGTTCCTGTTGGCTGGTGACTTTGGGTTGAACTTGAATGTAAATTCTTGGCTCTTTCTGGAGACTTCTCCTTTTGATTCTGGCAAGGGGAAGACAGAGACATGTTCCCTCTTATGTGCACAGAGACCTGTAATTTGTCCTTTCAGTTTGGCGTCCTTTATGAAGTGCTCAGGAAGAGGATGTATCGTAGTCAATAGAGTAACTCTGTTTTCTACAGTGTTTTCCTCCCGAGGGGGAGTTAAGCTGTCTTACTGCTCTTTTCCAGGGCTCCTCTCTGGCACTGGTAGAGTTAATAGAAGTGGAGCCCTTTGCTGCTCACTGCTGTGTGTCTTGGAAAAGCCAAACTCTCTGGCAGGCCTGTGTGCATGTCCTGGAAAGCAGGCTAGAGCCCTTGGGGTGCTCTCAGTAAAGCTGCATTATGATGGTGGCTTTGAGGAAGAGCCCTCCTTCCCTTTGCCCCAGGAACGTGTGTGCCACACACAGTGTCCCGTTTGCTCCTGTCACTGCTGCCGAGAGGGCAATCTGTCCACGCCTGGGCTGGGACAGCTTTGCAGGAATGCCAGCAGGCTGCTGTGCTGCCCGGGGCTGTGGAACCTGCTGGGTGTAGGGATAGCAGAAAAGGATGCTCCGTGCAGCTTTCCAGGCTTGCTGCATTCCAGCCAGCCTAGAGGTCTCAAGCAGCGTTGGAAACACAGCGTGCTGGGATTATGTGCGCAGTGGGCACCCTATTCATCCAGAGTGGGAAGCAGTCCCTGCCCTGAGCAGCTAAACGGGCTCGAAAGCAAGAACAGATTTGGGCAAAACGCAAACCCAGGAGTGTGCCAAGCAGAAGGCTTGGCAGTGTCCCTCCATTATCTTCTGCTGCTGGACGGAGATGCTTGGCTTGAAGTGCTGACGCACATATGTAATTTGGCCCTTCTTTAGCTCCATGCTCATCTCTCTGGGTGTTTCTTCTTAGGTCTGCTCCATCCTCAGTCTTGACTAGCTAAACGTAGAGAATTACTGCTGAGTAATACCTGCTTCTTGCTCTGCAGACTGTAAAACGTTATGTCTGCAGTTCCTCCAGCTCCTCTTCACAGGCAGAGTAAGAGCCTGGTTCCAGAAAAGGCACTTTTTGGTGTTGCAGTGCAAAGCTATGTGTTAGGCCATGGCTCTGCTGAAATTCTGGCTCTCCCTAGTTCCAGATTGTAAATAAATACACCAGGGTGGAGAAACCCTAAGCCTTCAGATCTGTGTTTTCTGTCTTTTGGGACAAGCTGACCTAATGCTTCAACATGCAACAATATCTGGTATTGTTCCTGTTTGTAACTAAATTCTTGTCTAATATTTCAAACCTGGACTTTGGTTGTTAAAATCTGGCACCCCTGAGACACAAGCACAGCCACGCAGGGGGCTCCTTACCAGGTCATTTGCTGCAAGGCTGGGCTGAGCACCTTTTCCTTGGGAACGACAGAGCTCAGCACTTCTGCATATCTGAACTCGGGTTCTTCTGTATCTCTCTGCAGGGTGGGGTTGGTGCTGTTTAGGGGTGATGTGAGTTGGCTGGGGAGCAACCTCTGTGTTTTGGAGACCCAGCCTTCATTTTGAAAAGTTTTTCAGGGCAGCTTGTCCCGAAGTGGCTTTGTTTTTCAGAGCTGCTGTTTGCAGGGTTTGTTCTGAAGTCATTGGAAAGATTTGGGATGGCTGCAGAAAGGGCAGTTCTTGTTTTCTATCTGTAGGTGCTGTTCTGTATTTA